CATCAAAAATTAGAAGAGCTATTCACCTTTGTTTGTCCCAAAATAAGACTCATTTATGAAGACAATAAGAAAATCGTTCATGTAATGTGAGACACTCTGTCTAACGGCCCATAGATCAGCCAAGGTAAGCTATACCAAGTTCATCAGCAAGCCTTTGAGCATCTTTACACTCACCTGACACCTTAATCATTAGTAGACTTAACTGCAACCTTATTTTTCTTGCCACAGGGGTAAACAGAGGATACAGTGAACATCCTCCACCTGCAATTCCATTCTCTCTAGTTCTGAATCTTGTAAGAAACAAGTTTGACAAGGTGGTCAAGAACCCCCAACAAGTCATGCCTCAAAGTCTTTCTTTTCCTAGTCTTTTTCAGACTGATTTTTCCTCCCTACAAGTCAGCATAACAGAATTTCTTCAGAAAAATCAGTGTTAGATATAGTTTAAAAAAAGAGATTCCAGTTCGTGCTCATTCCCAGTCCCCTTTTTTGTATATCACTTTCTTGAGAAGGAGCTAAAGAACAAAATAATTTCCCATCTCCAGTTAGGAGCCATAGAGGAAGCCTTGCAAGACTCAGGAAGAGGTCTCTGCAGGTTTTGTTGATAGCCTATGTATTATCCTCAGTAGAATAATTTAGGGCATGTTTACATTTGAAATGCCACAGCAGCACAGCTGTAGCATTTAGTGTAGACATTACCTGTGTTGACAGGAGGGGTTTTCCCATCACTGTAGTTAATCTATCTCCCTGAGAGGTGGTAGCTAGGTCGACGGAACCTAGCGCTGTCTACACTGGGGGTGAGGTTTGTGACATTCCCCAGGATATAATCTGGAATATTGAACAGCAGTGTCCCCTTAACTCCCTAGCCTGGGGTTCCTTTTACACAGCTATGCTGTCAGAGTAGCCATTCCTGGCCTGCTCACACAGCCTTCAGCAAGCAAATTCACTCCCAGCTAAATAAATGAGCACTCCGACCAGTCACTCATGAATTACATACAGGATGACACCCGGAAATTATTAGTCATAGACTTTCCCCCAGAAATATGTATCTTGTACTGTCCAGCACACTACTGAACAATGCAGGCTTGTAGAAACTCCATCATTTCATAAAAGGAAAATGATATATGCACCAGCTTTACTATCCCAAATGGAGTTTCCCACACACTTTAATCCAAACTCACTGGTTAATATAAAACAATAAGATTCATAGATTCATAGATTCTAGGACTGGAAGGGACCTCGAGAG